TTAATGCCGCAGTTCACTTTTTCGGCGTTTGGAAATAATAATCACTACGGAAATGTGTCCTTTTTAGAACATCATAATACGTGTACGTGACTAAAATGCGCGTTGATACAAGGGTAGGCAGGCTAAAGTGTTTTAAGTACACTTTTGTTTACCCTGGTAACCAGGCGCGGTTCTACGGGGGGGGGGGGGGGGGCTAGGGGGGGGGGGGGCTGTAGCCCCCCAAAAATTGTGTCTAGCCCCCCAAAATAAATTCCGTAAAAAAAAAATGCATTAGCAAAAAAGAAGGATTGTGATGTACATGCGAACGGTCTCCCCCTAAAGAAGAAATAGCCGTGACAAGGGTGCATTAGTTAATATAGTGTGAATGATTTTAGGATTTTATTGGCGCTCCCCATTGAAAATATGGCATGAGGCCCCCCCCCCCCCCCACCACCACCTATTGATTTTCGGAGGCCTAAGTGTCTGGAAAAAATAACCGGTCAACATTTCAGCACGCCTCCCTGACAAAAATTCTGGATCCACCGTGCTAGCCCCCCCAAAATATTGGTTCTAGAACCGCGCCTGCCCTGGCCGGTTTGGAATGTTATATTGTCCTTGTTTTCTGTCCCTCTATCTCCTCTCCCCTGCCAAACTGTCCACCCTCCCTCCCCCCCCCCCGACCCATTCCTTCTCGCTCAAAAATCTGCTAGAACAAAAACAGAATTATGGTTGAAATGGAGTCCTCTTTCTGAATTTTCGTTTTTCTATTATCAAAAATTTGGATTGTTTATTTTCTTGTACATAGGCGGTCCAAAAGTGGACAAACCAAATTTGTGAATTTCTACTGAAAAAAAAATCGGAAAGAGAGTTTACGAATAAACCAAATTTCCGAATTTCTACTAGCAGAAAATCGGAAATTGCGATTACGTCAAAACCAAATTTCCGAATTTCTACTAGCAGAAAATCGGAAATTGCGATTACGTCCAAACCAAATTTCCGAATTTCTGCTAGCAGAAAATCGGAAATTGCGTTACGTCCAAACCAAATTTCCGAATTTCTGCTGGCAGAAAATCGGAAATTGCTTTTACGACCAAACCAAATTTCAGAATTTCCACTAGCAGAAAAATAAACCAATTTCAATTATTTGTGTACTAGTAGAAAATCAAGGTGGTGATTTTTTTTGGGCTACTCCATAAGTCGTTTGGGGTAAGAAACCCTCATCAGCAGAATTTTAATCATAGGCCTTAAAGAAAATTAATATTTAAAAACGATAGGGGAGGAACTTGACTAATGATTTTTTTGTTATAAACCTTGAGCAAACTAGGGGGTTGTTTTCAGTCTCCTTAGAAAAAAGTCCAGAGTGAACGCGGCTGAAGTTTGGTTAGTCGCCAAATATAGGCTACAATTCTAATAAAAGAACAAGTTGGCGTCTGCAAAGGGCAGATGCAGGGGGGCCAACGGGGGCCATGACCCCCGACAACCCCACCCAAAAACCAAAGGAGCTCAATTTTAATTTTGTTTTAACTGACGTGGCAGTACAGGCAGTCATTGCGCACACCACCATCTTTTCCTCAAAAAGATTTTGTTAAGGCCCAAAAATCATTTACACAAACCAGAGATAGGCTTTACGTCTTGTGAGGCGACGCGGCTTTGTTTTTTTTTTTACCTGATTTTTGTTGCTTCAAATGTCGGCTGATAACTGCAAATGGTGCCCGACTAAACCTAGTGCAAATATATGGGAGTCCAGAGAGGCCACAGAAAGCTTATTCTCGACCATAACCCAATCTAAAAACACGTTAAAATTGTGCAACAGGAGGATTCCAGTCAAACCAGTGAGTTTGGCGGTTTTGAGACATCATCTTTCATTGAATTTTTTTTTTTTTCATTTTGCCGACGCGCATGGCTACGGCGACGCGCGCGCATACCAGAAACCGGAGACTTTTTTTTTTTGGCCTAAAGTGATCAGATCGCACCACAGAGCAACTACAATCCAAAAAAATGTTTCGGGGCCGTTAAGCGGGCCCGAACCCCAAACCCTTATTAATTTTTATTGGGACCCACTTTTTGGGGTCCACATTTTTTCTTTGGCCCCCCCCCCAAAAAAAAGGTGTTCTGGATCCGCCCTTAGCGTTGGCTTAACAAAGAAAAGAAGAATAGCTTTTATGTCATTCCAACTTTTGTTGGCTAGATCATCAAACACAATTACCTTTTGGTACATACGCAATCAATTGACCTGCTCGACTCAGATGAGGGTTTCTTACCCCAAACGACCCATGGAGTAGCCCAAAAAAAATCTCCACCTTGATTTTTTACTAGTACAAACAAATGAAATTTGGTTAATGGTATCAAACGTTCATTTTTCTACTAAAAGAAATTCGGAAATTTGCTTTGGTCTTAAACGCATTTTCCGATTTTCTGCTAGTGGAAATTCGGAAATTTACTTTGGTCGTAAAAGCAATTTCCGATTTTCTGCTAGTAGAAATTTGGTTTGGACGTAAACGCAATTTCTGCTTTTCTGCTAGCAGAAATTCGGAAATTTGGTTTGGTCGTATAAACGCTCTTTCGGATTTTCTGCGCCTTGAAATTCGGATATTTGGTTTGTCCACTTTTCGACCGCCTGTGTACAAGAAAATTAAAAATCCAAATTTTTGATAATAGAAAAATTAAAATTCAGAGAGAGGACTTCATTTCAACCATGATTCTGTTTTTGTTCTAGCAGATTTTTGAGAAAATGGGTTGTCCACTTTTGGTCCTCCATATGTCTGGCCATACTTTTTCATTTTCCAATTTTGTTCACTTGTTGATATATATTTGCTTTGTCATTGTACTTTTGTTACTTTGTTGGCCGAATAAATAATAATAATAATGATACGTAGAGCGTTTGTAATATACGCGGCCATCTTCGTGAGACCGGGGGCGAATTGCTACGGCGCTATAGGATCTTTGATGCAAAGTCTACTGTGTGACTGGTGTATGGATATCCACTATCCAGTCTTTATGGGTGCAGTGAACTAATTCAAGTGAGAATTTCTACGCGAGCTGATTAGCATAAAAAGTTGCCCCACAGTTTCTGTTGAAAACGGAGACCGTTTGGCTTTAAAAACGGTGGAATTGTGTAAATGTAGCCAACGATCAACTCCCTGTTTTTTTTTTTTTTGGGGGGGGGACTTCCATCTGAGGGCAGGCTTGATAAAATTATGGTTGAAAATGGGTCCTATTTGCCTGAGAAAGTGGAAGGATGCCACTTGTAAAACGGCTACATGCAGGCTTGGGAACTATCACTTTTCGGGAGGTGATTTTGTTTTGGTGTGAATATTTAAAAATGTAATCGGCTAATCTACCCAAAATTGAAAAGAAATGAAAAGATGAAATACAAGACAATAATTAAATTTTTGTTTGAGAAACCCCAGTGATGTTGGCTTGCATGTTATTTGGCCCTGAACTTTGTTGATTTTACACTGTTTTCAATGGGGCTTGAATTGGTTCAGTGCACCCATATATATAGAGATCAGTGGGCCGTACGCATAATTTTTATTCCTAGGAGGGTTAGGGGCAATCAAGGGCGGATCCAGAACACAATTTTTTGGGGGGCCACAATTTTTTTTTTTGGATTTTAGATGCTCTGTGGTGCGATCTGAGGCAATTTCTGACCACTTTAACCAATGTTTTTTTGAGGAAAAGATGGTGGTGTACTCATTGCCTGCCTTTATTTTATATATAAAAAAAAATTGGTTTCGTTTTGTTGGGGGGGGGCATGGCCCCCTTTGGCCCCCCCCCCCTGGATCCGCCCTTGGGGGCAATGTCATGAATAATTCATGTTTATCCATGAGAACGGACAATGACATCAACAACATTGTTGTTAGTTACTCAACTGGTTACAATACATTAAAGCATTTTAAAGAGCTACCACACAGTAGCCTAGTGGATAGCGAGATGAGCTATGGATACAAAGATCCCTGGTTCGAATCCACGTTGTCGTTGCCTGCTCATTTTCATCAGCTATTTTTCTTCTCCAAATTCATCACTGAGATAATTTTAAATTAAGGGAAAATAGAACGAGAACCTAAATCTTGCAATGATTCAAAGGAAAAACCGAATTATTCATGACATTGCCCCTAACCCTCCTAGGAAAAAAAATTACGCGGGCCGTACCAAAGACCATAGAGCGCGCCCGTAATGCGCTATGTGGTCTTTGGCCGTACCCACGTTCTAGCTGTGAACGTCTCAAATCTGATTTTTCTGAAAGCATCCACATTTATTATTTATTAATTTGTTTAAGTACTCTAATTTTCTCATTGTTTAGCATGCAATAAAAACAAAAGTTTAATATTTGTTGACATAATGACCAATCATCACACAAAGTCGTTAATTATTAATTTAATGCCCCCAAAATCAAAACGTTTCTACTCTTTCTACTTCTACTTGGATTCAAATTTGTAGCAGGGTGACCGTAAGGTCCTAGCCAAATTCTGCTAAATGCACATCAAAAATCTGTCAGATTTATAAAAAATCTGCCAAATTCCCCAGAATTACTCGAAATACAATACGAACACTTAAAATCACATGGAGATTGGTAGTATTGCCTTAATTAAGATTCAAATTACATAATAAACAATCTAGTCCCATAAAGATGTTGTGAAATTATTGGTAAATTTCGGGCAAAACACAGATCCGGCCACGACAAAGTCCGTTTCCCAGTGAACCTCAGTACCTAGACAAACCAACTTATCCGATTAGGCAAGGGTTTGCTTGAAAGGATTGAAGCTTTTTTAAACAAATGTACACGTTTTAATTCAAATTTGCTGTTTTTCTGTCAAATAACCATTTTTGAAGAATTCTGCCAGAAATCTGCCAAAAAAATCCATTCTGTCAAATTTTCGGTCAAACTCGTTTTTTTTTTACAAAAATTCTGTCAAAGTTAGCCGAAAATCGGCTAAAACGGTCACCCTGGTTTGTAGTCAAAAGGCAGGTTCCCCCACACAATGCATGCTTTGATATCTGCGCGTGACACACTGATCGCTGGTTTTCTTGTATTTCATGCAGGTTGGAATGCGTGTAGAGTACCAGTGAGACACATGATTCGCCATTTTAGTTTTTTTAATATCGTGTCGGTATGAAGTGCTACGGTCGGTTTGGTACTTTGAATGAGGGTAATGTGAAATGAATATAGGAGTTTGGCGGGTGAAGGTTAGTCTCGATTTGTTTGAGCTGGTATTAGCGTGTTTTCCAATGGAATTGGCGTCTAAGTGAAGGGGGCGAGTAGGCCTAATGGCGTCCCCTCTACCTACCTAGCTAGGCCCATCGGCCTGAATATCGCATAGTGTAGGGTGAGTACAGTAGGTACACTATGACCACAGGGTGAATGCCCCACCACAGGCATGGCCCATGCCCGCTTAGGAAATTAAACAGACTGGGTAGGCCTAACTGTGTTAGGCCTAACGTTAATGTGTTTTTGGAGAAGTTGTGTTTCGATTCTGTGCCTGCATGCCGTGTCTACTGCTTGTGAATGATGTTACCGCGTTCCCATACGTGTGTAATTTAGCCTGGACCTCGCTTCGTGTACACTGTGTGTATGTTTGCATGACAGCAATTACTTTAAGACCATGGAAAAGCAAGACAGGCACGCCTCCAACACACATCATGTCGACATGAGAAAGGATGCGTTGCTCAATACTGTGCCTGTTGTGGCTGCAAACAGATGTGATCCAGACGAGGATCCTGAACTACAATATTTGGACCAGGACAAGATCAACAATTCCAAGAAGAAGAGTTTTTTCCAGATCACGAGCGTAACAGAAAATGTCAATGATGAAAACGACAGTATGGACGAGCTTGACGAAAGCCGAGTAGATGATTTGTCCACAGCTGATCTGTCAAAACTCAGTTTACAGACAGATATTGAGCATTCAGAAACTGAAGACTCACCAAACCCACTGGGTGCTGGTTATGGCATCAACCCAAATGCTGCAATGAACCCTAACTCAGAGGCCAACGGGAACGGCCCCTCCAGGTTTAAGTTGGTAAAAGTTGCTCGCATTGAGCCAATTAAAAGGGGCCGATGGACATGCAAAGACTTCCCCAGTGAACCCCAGCCAGGCTCTGAGAGTACAGTGGCCAAGACGGAACAGATTCGAGACAATGTGTCTGGCAGCTCAAGTGCAGCCAGCTCTGTGCATTATGTGCCTGGAGAGAACCCGCCCACAGAAAATCCACTTGCAGACACAAACTCTGCCCCCCAGCAACCGCCCCCACCGTCCAAAGACAACACACCGAAGGAGACATCAGACTCCGTAGATAAGAAAGACTCATCTTCAACTCGGCCAGATCGCAGGCCGAGTAGCAAAACGGACTCAAATAAGGAGGGCTTGAGCAAGAAAGAATCCAGTGCAGGGGATCTTTTATCGCTAGATTCCTTGAGTGTTGAAATGCATGCTGATAACCAGTCAGAAAATGATGAAAGGTGAGTTTGGACTTACATTATATAAAGGAGTGCTGTGGCTGTGATATTGATTGAGTCTCAGCCCTCTGCTTTAGAGCTGAGTCAATTTGAATAATTGATTATTCAAATATTGGGAAAGATTCCCATATCTGGCCATCACTTGTCATCCTGTGCACAAACCCTTTGAGACTGATCTGAAAATTTGTAAGTGTTTTCTCAGTAAATACTTCAAAATGCAATTTTTTTTCCCTGCTAAATTTGACTTTTCATGACATAGGCCTAGCTCTACTGAGTGGAGCGTTGAATTACGGGTACCCCTCCATACAAACGTGCTCCTTGGGTGTGTTCAAAGCCCATACTGTCGTACGGCGCGGCGCGGATTGGAGTACGTATTATTACACGAAACAGTCGTTGATAAAGCGCGACTTGTTTTTCTTCGTGATCGAGCAACGACGGTGACATCACGTCAGACGCCCTCATTGACGTGACAAGCTAATTCAAGAACTGAGCCTCCATGCAAACACATTGAACTGTAAGTTTTCAGACTATTTTGCTGTTTTTTTCCAAAATGTTCGCTGTTTGGGAACAATATAAGGGGTCTCATGGAATGTCAAGAATGTATAGATCAATCCAGGATAACTGTCTTTCTCATTTGTAATCTCTTTACCGTTTTTTGGGGGTCTTTTTGTCCTCGCGTGGGTTTGTGACTATGCTACTGTGATGGTGCTACCAAAGTATGGCGAATCGGTGGAGCGTTTGTATGGAGGGGTACCCGTAATTCAACGCTCCACTCAGTAGAGCTAACATAGGCCTATCTCTTTCTGATGGCTGATAGGTAACAATTAGAATACAGGTCAACTCGTACGCGAGCCAACTTGTACGCGACCAACTCGTACGCAGGACAACTCGTACGCAGGACAACTCGTACGCTGACCAACTCGTACGCGAGCCAACTCGTACACGAGCCAACTCGTATGCGGGACAACTCGTACGCGGACCAACTCGTACACAAGCCAACTTCATCCCCAAGCGTAGCACAAGTCATGCAAGTACATTTACTGAAACGTTTGGTTCGGGCGTGTTCGGGTCACATGGAAAGATGAAATTAGGTCGGTCAGTCGTCCGGAACAATTTTTATTTCTAAAGGGGATCATTTTGTGTTACTGAGAGGTCCCAATTAGGTTGCAACATTTATTTATTTTTTTTAATTATCGAAACTGGAAAGACTCCCATATCTGGCCATCACTAATTTTTCCCTTCAGTGACCTATCAGCCATCAGAAAGTTTATAATATAGCCCTGTCCGCACTGGACTTTTTTTGGTCAAACTAACCGAGACTATGGGTACTTTTCCATTTTAAGTCCAGTGCGGACAGCCTAGGACGTTTTCCTCTCGGTTACTTTTCCTGAGTCCAGCGGTTACTTTTACTGGCCAACTGCTGCCCAGGAAAACTTCCCACGCGCCCAGGAAAACTGACCAGGTCACTTTTCCCGAGACGATAAGTCCAGTGCGGACAGTGCGAGTCGGTAAAAGCGTACATCCGGCCCGAGCGCCCTGTTATGCATAACAGAGACCGCACGAACCTGCACGTGCAGTGGCCGAACATTTTGTAGAAACACGCTGCGGTGTATCATCAAGTCCGAGCAGTAAAATCTCGTTAAAATATATATTTCAACGGAAAAATACATACACAGAGAAGAGAGATCACGTTCTGAGAATTAATTCTCTTTCTCCACTGATGTATGTTATTTTCTACGATCCAAATTCGTCCTGATACGCTACTGTAGTCTTTCACGGAACATCATGGTCCGGTACCGTACGTAGGCCGTAGTCACTGGTTCCTGACCCACATCATAGCTTCGATTTTGTAAGCATGCGGTGGGAACCAACGAATACTGATGGCACTGCTGCCGCACGGAACTTCGTACAGCGGCATGGCTTCGACGACGTGCATCACAAATGCGTCAGAATTATAGGCCTGTTCGTCAAGATTTAGCGTGTCAAGATGAAATTATATCGTGTAAACGATTATGTTGTGCATGCAAATGGCGTGTGTAATATTACTGTGCGTATCGGCGGCTGAAAATGTGATCGGCAATTTGTTTTCTGTGTACAATGGAGTCATTATACTGACACTGCGACAGCTCGGTTACTTCTCCCACGCGGTCTGGGTAAATTTTCCCGTGTCGAAAGTCCAAGTGCGGACAGTGGTCACATTTAACCATTTCTCATTTTACCATCGTCTCGGTAAAACCTTCAAAAAAAAAAAGTCCAGTGCGGACACGGCTTATGTCCTAAAAAGTCAAAATTAGAAGGGAAAATATTGAGGTATTTACTAAAAAAACACTCTCAGACCAGTCTCATAGGGTTTGTGCACAGGGTGACAAAGTGATGGCCAGGATATGGGAATCTTTCCTCGAAACTTGTGAACTTGTACATCTTTGCATTAACCCTAACGTACCTGAATCCATCTAAATCCACCCCCCTGTTCCGGGGGATTTCGGCGGATTTAGGATACCTCCATATTACACAAACTGGGGGATTTTGATGGATTCAGGATTGGAAGCCCAGCGGAACTGGCGGATTTTTATGGTTTCAGGATACCTCTATTTTGAGCTGTTGGGGGACTTTGATGGATTCAGGATCTCAACAGTTGAACTCTTTTGTAATGTTTGTGGTCAAGTAAATACTGCTGGCACTAGCCCTGGCAAGTCTGTCACATACTGAACAAACATGTACACACATGTACCGGGTGGACTTGCATGGAGGGTCACGTGCTGGAGGAAAGATACAAATAATGCGCGAAAACGTGACGAACGCAACACCGTTTACGCGCAAAGAGCACCATGTGCATCGCTAATAATTATGTGTGCGCATCGCGTAAATACTCGGTGCGCATTTCTAGCTTCGCGCGCATTGAGCTAGGTCACGTGCTGGAGGAAAGATACATTTAGCTCCATTACTTTACGTTAATTTGTTGCGCGTCTACGAGAGACAACCAAAATGGCGGAGATTTATCGCACAGTGAATGGGCGCATGTGGACGCGCTGCCGATCTAGTCTTTTCATTCTATCTATGGTTTACGGGCTGAAACACGCGCTAATGTCTTTCACACAAATTTTGTGCGCGAGATGTATTCACTTCGGTACTCCATGCTGGGGTCACCATGCATTGGTGTATTTTGATGGATCCTATGCCACAACACACATCACAATTTTCATGCGAGCATGGTATCCTGAATCCGTCAAAATCCACCACAAATTTACAATGTAGGTGATGGATTTTGAAGACTCTATGGAAAAACATGCTGTATTTTCGTTTATGCCACCATGGTATCCTGAATCCGCCAGAATCCATTAAGACTTTTGCTGGTGGACTTTGGCGGATTCAGGATACCTCCAGCATCTACACTGGGGGATTTTGATGGACTCAGGATACCAGCATTTTTTGCATGACAAAATTGGTGGATTTTGGCGGATTCAGGATACTTTCTAGTAAAAGAGCCCCGAGTTAGGGTTAACCCCTTAAGGACGGGGTGTAATGGGGACATTCCTCCACACATAGAGCAAGTGGCTCGCATGACTGCACAGCCTTTGTGTGGTAGCGGGACTGCACAAAAGCAGCAGCTGTGGAACTACCCACTAGCTGTGTGCCTCGGCATACCACAGCTGGCAACTGCATTCCAATGAGGATAAGCGGCCGCGGCCATGACCATGACCGCTTCCCGTGCGCATGGGGTTAATGGAATTGAAATTGTTGATATGGCTACAATCACAGTCTAGACTTGTTTTGGTATTGCATTTGCGATACCGCGGTATCTAGGGCTGAGTCAATTCGAATAATTGAATATTTGAATATTCGACCTTCCAATCGATCGAATATTCGAATATTCGGTTATTTGGCCATTCCAAATTCCCTCAAGCAAAAATATGCCATTCATGTACATGTAGTTAACGTACGTGAGCATGTCAGCATGATTTCTTCACAGGTAAGTCGGGTATTTGACAACAATCAGTTGTTCTTCAGTTGTCAGTAATTTAAAGATTAACAATCACCAGAGAAGCTAGAATGAAGGATTCCTTGTTTGCATGGGGGACGTATTAAGCCGTGAACCCCAAACACGGCGGGTGGCGTCAGCTATTGTGACTCTCCGACCCTTGACTCGCAAACGGGAATCGAGCATTTCTATTACTGGAAGCTTCTTGAAGTCTACAAAACGGTGTACTTCCTAGTCACAGTATTGAGGATAAAAAATCACTTTTATAGTAATAACTCGCACTTTTGTCACCAAGAATTGAGGAAATGATTTTATATCATTTTAAATAAACTTATTCTCAACAACCAAAAACTCCAAGAAAAAAACCTATGATATTTAATGTCTTTATTCAATGAAATATGGGTCTTTGAATTGTAAATGCATAATTAAGTTTATGCAAATAATGGGCGTGGGCGCAGCATACACACGCCCCAGCTTGACATGTGCAAAGCAGTATTTCCTTGTTTGCCCACAGGGGATGTATTATAAGCTGTGTACCCAAAACACGAAGGGTGACATTTCAGCAACCCACCCTAAAGATAATAAAATCGCCAGCCGAGCTCCGGCGGGCGCATTGGTGGCGGGATAATTAGGGCACAGGTGCGCTGACCCGGTTCTTTTGTCTGGCTAAGTGCGTGCTCTGGAGATAACTTTCTAATAAATAGGCCACTAAAAGGTTTGGATATTCCAACTTGCAAAATTTTGATACATTTTGTCTAGCTGTGGTTTTCTATGCTGGGAATCAGGGGTACGGTGCGGTGAGTTGACCGCAAAGTCTGTCTGGCGAAATCCTCTCTGTTGTCTGCCCTTTTTCTTGCGTTTTGCTTGACTTGGAGGACATAAGCCAGAGGTTCCCTTTATTATTACTGAAAGTATAATTGCTGAACTACTTTTTGAAGTGTTTATGTATGTTTTATTTGTGCAAATATTGGGTGCAATTAGCAGACTAACCCAGCGAACAAAGCTGACGGACAGCGAACGAAAATGTGTTCGATTAAAAGGGT